AAAATCAATAAAATCCTCATTTTCATTCCAATCATGCTCAATTTCAGAAAAACAAGGAAATTCTCATGAAAATCATCCAAATTCTCATTTCAGTCTAATCACCCTCAAATGCTGATAAAATCAATTTAAAATCAATTTAAACCTTGCCACCATCTCAAAAACAGTTTAAATCATGCTTTAAAATCGAAGGGCTTTACCATAATTTACTTACCTCACTCGCATAAAACCGAGCACTCAATCTCAGTGCTAACTGACAGAACGATCGGGAACCTAATCAAAACACCTCAGAATTAATACTGGACTATCACAAATTTAAACTGAAATCATCATTAGCACTACCCCTAATCATAGTGCTATTTCTATCAATCTCCACATAACCGAACATCTCCAAATTTATTCTTATATCACAAATTAAACCGTTAAATCCCCGTTAATCGTTGACCCTCGGTGTGTGAACAGTGCCTATGAACAGTACTACGTGAACAGTACCCGTGAACAGTGACTGATATTTTTAGAATTCAACTACAGCCAGCTAAAAGGACCAGACAAAAAATGGATATTTCATCAGATTTTTCAGAGCAGAAACGGACTGGAAAGGAGCAGAAAACAGTAGCAAAATTGCAGAATTTTCTGCGTGAACAGTAACTGGTACGCGTGAACAGTGAAATCTTGGCAAAACAGCAGGATTTTCACGCAGAACAGCAGCAAAATTTCAAGCCAAAACAGGTTTAGTTCTACATGAACTAAGCCAAAAAAAACACGTTTAAAGGCTGCTAATTTCTTCCCCTATTTCGGCAAGTTTCGGACAGCAAAAGGGAAATTCAAAAGCAGAAACCCAATCAACCCAAGGCAACAACTACATGGATAAATTGGACTTAGAAGAGCCGGCAACTTACCAGAATTCTAGCCAGCAGAACCCGAGCTTGGCTGGTGAGGAAGCCGACGGGATCCAGGGGGGAAACTCACGGCAAACTCCAGAAATTCAAGAACCAATAACAAAATTAGAGTAACCCAAGCCAAATGAAGAGAGAAAGGATGAATTCGAGGCTGCTTCTTACCAGAAAAAGCCGAAGGATTCAAACCCAGCAGAACCCGATGGGCAGGGGAGGAAGAGACCGAGCAGATCTGGGGAAAATTCTGGGTTTAATGAGAGTTCTAAGCCCCAAAATCAGTTCTTGAACAAGAAGGAAAGGAGAAATTTCAAGTCTTCTACTGGTTTTCAAAGGAGGAAGAAGTCGGTGGCTTAGGGGCTTGTCGGGAGGAAGAATCGAGAAGAACAGAGCAGACACGCGGGCGATGAGGAAGAAAAGAAAAATATCTAAGCTTGATCCTTATCCTAATTTCCTTTCTTTTTAGCCCCTAAACTTTTTAAAATTTTGTGATTAAACCCCAAAACAATATTTTCCCTCAAATAAGTCCCCAATTAAATGCTAAAATACCCCAAAATTTTGGGATATTACACTCATGTTAACTAAATTTCAGCATTCCTATTCAACATTAAAACACATAATTCACAATCGGGGAATCATCAAATCACAACAACAATTCAAAAATAGATTTATAGCCAAGACAAAACATCAATATCAACCCAAAAAAATAATAAAATCCTTAACAGCAACTCTTACATTCGGTGAAGAAGAGGAAAAAAACACTTGAGTCATATGGGAATAACAATTTCAAACTATTTCTCACGCAAACATAAAATGAAGGAAAACTTCGTGAAATGGCCTTAACATCATAATGCACAATATCATTGTCCATAAAACTAGATTTCTTTGACTCTCTGTATTATGAAACTTCTCTCTCTAGTTTCTTTCTCTGCAAACCATTAGTGGTGTGGAGCCCAAAACTGGACCTCTGCTTTTCTGGCTTCAAGCTCTCCGTTGTTGGTCTTTTATAGCTCTTTTATGCTAAGAATTAGAGAGAGAAAACCGAAGAGAAACGAGAAATAGATAGATAGATGGGTCTTGTCTCCATTGTTGATCTTTTACGGGCTTACTGTGGATTGTGTCGAACAAATTGATTGAGTTGTAGGAGGAGGCATGGAGATATGAATCACAGGAAGTGTGGAGATGGAGAATTGTAGCAGCGAAAAAGGTGAAAATAGTAGAGGTTCGGGATTATTTTTAAATGAAACGGTCTCATTGGAATGTGGGTGTTTCCTCAAAAAATCATTTTAAAGTGGTTTTGCACGTGTGGAATCTAGATGCGACATGCCACTTACTCTACTAAAAGTAATAATAAAGGATTTTTTCATCGACTCTTTTCTTCCTCATAATTGACCTCTTTACAGATAGCAAAAAGATCGTTGGTTTTCAATTAAAATTTGCATCTACAAACAATTGAAAGAGAGACGGATGCCTTCTTGCAAAATGGGTTACTAAATCTACCTCAAACAATTTCAAAGATTTAAATACTACCGTAGATTTAAGTTAACGGATCCTAAACGGACTATACAAAATGCAAACTAAAATAAACTTACAAGAAGAAGATGTACCCAAATTAAAATAAGCATATTCATTATCAGATTAAACTACTATCT